TTTTTAAATAAGGATACTCATGTTATAGAAATGCCACTAAGACTTAATTTTACACCTAACAACACATAAAACTAAAAGAAATCTACTCTTCAGGTAAAAAAAAATCACATACCTCCCAATCTAAGTTTTCAAGTGAAGTTATCCTGAGTGAAAAATATTGAGACTTACATGAAGTTACTATGTTTTTAATTATAAGCTGCATTTTGACATACACAGTAACTTACTTGAAGTTACATTTTAAAACTATGAAGTGTTTCAAGTATCAAAAGTATCCTTGTGACCCAGTCAGTAGGGCAATAATCTAACAGTGCTCCACTGAATGCCAGCCACTGCTTTACAAACCAAGCTTTCAAGGCAGCTTTAGCACAGTAACAGTGCCCATATTCTCCAACTCCGAGGAGCTATTTGGGGGTAACTGCAATGGCAATACCTTTGAAAATTCCTCCTTTATAGTGTGTTCATGGGGCATGGGGGAGAAGGGAGGGAAAGAGTTAAAATACACATACACAACAGTTCCAGTCACTTGAAAATGCACCACTCTCTCAATTCAGCCTGATTTACTGCTACAGTTATGGGAGACGAAGACTTCCAAGTGACAAATGTACTAATTATTTCATTCAAGGACACTAAGCCAAAGTTCACACCAAGTCCCTTGTATAAATTGCGAGAATATAAGCTAAAGAAAAACGCATCCTGTTCCCATCTGGCCAAAATACAGATATTTTGTTTTTAACGACGTAAACAGTATTTGCACCAAAGTATATATCTAGTTAGATTCCAAGCGTTCTGTTTCAAAAGTTGCAAAAATCACTGGCAACATCTAATGAAAACCAGGCCTCTGGCATGCCCACAGCCAGCTGCTACTGTCCCAAATGCTGCTCTTTCCAAGAGAGGAGCAATCTACATGTGTTACAGTTTCAGTCTGAATGTCATCTCCTTTGGCAAGGACCAGCACAGGGCAAGATGGTAAACATTTTAAGACTGTGTGGTCAATTCCATCTGTGTAGAACTACTCCGCTCTGCTTGGGAGCACTAAAGCCACCACAGACAATGTGCCAGCACACAAATATGACTGTAGCCTCTACAGCTTCTAGTTCATTAAGTCTTCACATGCCATGATATTTTACTTTCCTCCTGATCTTTTTCCACCCATCCTAAATTGTGGTGTGTGTTTGCTTAAAGGCCACACAAAAATACATAGCTGGGTTTGACCTTGTGGATTTGGCCCGTGGTTTGCAGTCTCTCCCTGGCTGAGAGGCGAACTGGCCTTTAGTCTCGAACATATACCACTATGTACAAACAGCATGCTCTCCCTGATAAACACCTCTCTCTTTAAGTCAATGAAGGCAGCTGCTATTTCTTTCCCACATACCCAAAAGTCAAACAACAATAATGAGGGCAAGAAGAAACAGAAACAGCCTGGAGAAAGGGTACAGGCTACTCTTGTTGCTCCCCAATGGCCTTGTGGCAAATGAGTATCATCCTAAATCTCAATTCTGTCCCTACAACTGATTGCGGCACGTAAGCACCTGAGGGAAGCCCTGACTGGACCGTCTTTTATCAAGAGAAATCGGGGAAAACACGAGCCATGGGGAAGAGCTGCGATCAGTGGCTTGGAAACAAGGTCCCAGCTGAGAGGACATGGTTTAAAAAGTACTCAGTCTTGGTGGCAAGGGTCCCTAAGGGAGAAAGAACACTGGGCCAAGTCAGCTGAAGGCCTATAAAGGGAGCAGCTACTAACCTTAATGGCTACATACTACTTTTCACAATTCTTAAAGAAGACCTTAAGCCTAACAAAATAAACAGTGAATCTCTTTGTGGTAAAAGGGCCAAGCATGCAAGCTGAGGACTGTAAAAAGGAGTAAAACACCACTTCAAATGTAAGTCATTAAATCATAAACACAAAGCAAAACAGGTTTGAGCTTCATAACCTACCCAACCACATGAAGACATTATTAAAAAAAAAAAAAAAAAAAAAAAAGCAAAAACCAAAGACAGCAAGGGGAGGCATTTCCTAGGTACTAGACTGACTGGGGGGAAAGTGCAGAAGACAGACCAAGTACAGAGAAGGAGTTTGCCTCCTTCCCTCCCCACAGCCTTTCCAGAGACTTGCTCTCTCCCTCTCCACCCTGTAAATTGCTGGTTTGCATCAGCAGACAGGGACAAGCTTTTTCTTCCTTCCTTGAATGTGCCATCGCAAATTAAAGAGCTTATAAATGAATATCACCGAAAAATACTAGTCTTAACAGAAATGTCTGAAACTATGTCCTTCAATTTTTATCCAAACTCCCCCACCCCACCCCAGTTTAGTTCATAAAACAGTCAAGGTGCCTCTAAAAGCACACACTAGTCTCGATCTAGGTCTAGCATCCGGACTGCAGACTTGACAGGAACACACTCTTCCACTTCTGTCATCTAGAAGGAGTGGGGTACAGAAAGAAGCATCAACGTACGAACTTGACTGAAGACCTCCGCCTGAGGAGAGTTCCAAGAAAGATAATTCTGATAAATGCTTCAAGGATAAATGAGGACAAATGATGACTTTAGCCGAAATCTTGTCTACATTCTCTCTGAGCCTGGAATGGAGGGGCAGCCAAGACTCTCAGGGCAGCACCCAGCAGACTGTAACTAGCAGGACATTCCCAACTGTTGAACACACAGCACAAAGCCAGGAAACATATTCCAAAAGCACATTCGCAGCAACAACGGACAAGTACTAAAAATGTCACATTGCTTTTAGGACACCTATTTATCTCAAGCCTGGACCATTTGCCCCTCAGGAGACTGGCCTTTTGCTGTTTTGAAGATGTCTTTTGTTCTCACATTTCAGTTCTGGATGCTACCAGCATCTACTGCATAGAGGTCAAGGACAAAGCTAAACTCACAATACATAAAACAGTCACCAAGAGCAAACTGTCAGCAGAGCCAAGGAGAAATGCTGAGTGAATCCACTCCTTTTACGTGGGAGAAGAGGCACACTGGGTGTGCCTGAGAAGGTGTGAAGTCATGTGTCAGGTACCGGCAGCTTTTGTTTGACACAGGGTCCCTCATTAGCCTGCAACTTGTGTCAAGCAGGCTATGCTAGCCAGCCGGTCAGCTTCAAGGATCTGCCCCAGTCGGCCTACTGTCTCATCATCAATGGGATTGTAAGCGTAGGCCACCATGCCTAGCTTTTAAGTGGACCAAGGAGATGCAGACTCAGGCCCTCACACGATCGGGACAACTAACGGAGCCACCTCCCCAGCTCCGAGTACACTTTTTACCGACCTACTAGGACACACTGACAAAAGATGTGGTCAGAGGTGATCTTAGACAACGTCACTCTTCCTGAAGACCCACTAATCTAGACAACAACTGAGACCTCAAAGATCATTTCTGTATTAATGTGGACATTTTCAGTTATACTACTTCAGGGATAAAAGTAACCACCGCTGATAAATCTGACCAAATTACCAAACAATGTATCTTCTGCGCTTCTCAGCTCAGCACAGAATACTAAACACCATCGGCCCATGCATGTAACCAGCTCGGCTTCTGCTCTCTAGCTCCCATTAGCGCACACTAACATTTCCAGCGTTTAGCTCATAACCGAACTCCGTGCCCACCTGCCACAGAAACCACGTCTCAGATATCAACCGTGGGTTTTATATGGAAAACATTCATATCTGAAATTCCCTTCCTCTTATATTACAATCCATTTTAAATTTAACATCCAATTCAACGAAACGTAAAAGCTTGCACAGGGACGGGATTGGTTTTTTACTGCAAATTTAAAGGTAGCAAGCCTGGCACGGATAGGCTCTGTAAAAAAGTGAGTGTTGGCATCGAGAGTTGGCGTAAAATACACAAAAGCCGAAGCCTCAAGGTTATTTTTATTTATCAATAAAAGTTGATTTGGGTGTTTCAACAAAGACAATTTCCGGAGCACGTTTTTATATTTTGCGTCTCTATTTGCATTTATTTGTGTGGTTTTTTTTCAAGTGTTATGCTGAAAGAAATACCATTGTTCTGTGATTAAACTTAGTTCAAAGACAGAATAGTCATACCGGTTCAGATTTCCCTGTGACTGATAGGATAAGGTAACCATTTCTGCTGCCAACAGAGCAAGCGCTGCTCCACAAAGAGCGAGCGAGCGGCTGCTCAGCGCTCAGGTTTCTTGAACTGTCCGGAGAAGAAGATAAAAAGATGGCTACACGGACCAGCAGGCCTTGTGTCAAGTGTCAAGTTTCCAAGGTGGAAATGTTTGCTCGTGGTCTTACTTTCCAGAAGGAAAGCGTCTAGTGGTTATTGAGAAAGGCAAAACTATCTCATCCACCCACTCACCACCAAAGCACATCAGGTCATTTAAACGCTAGGCTCAGTTCCAAGGAGCTAAGTCCAGGGCCCAGAAGTGGAAACCGCCAGAGAAACTCCCCGGCGCGATAAAGCGCTGCAAGTCCTGTTAAGACAAACAGGCGGCGGGGTTCTCCTCTGGCTGAACCCAGAAAGTTTTGTTCACACGAACTTGCCTCCAACTACTAGCTTTCGCTCAGCTTCCGAACACCCGCCAGGGCCAGGGCTCGGGGAAGCCTGACTCCGCGCCCCAAGGTGGAACAGGAGGAGGAGTGGGTGGGCGCGCAGGGCGTCTGCCCGCAGCCAGGTCCCGAGCACGGCTTGGCTACTAGGCAGGGGCAGGATGGCGAGCTGCTTTCCGGGGCGCTGGAAGGAATGTCCCCATCAACCGCAGCAAAGCACGGAGCCCCGCGGTTAGGGTCCGGCAGGGATGAAGCCTACAAAGAGGGAAGGAAAGTTGCCCGGTTCCCTCCAGACGAGCCCGCGGGAGGCGGCGTGGGGACCTCACCTGCAGGGATGCGCGAGGGCGTCTCCTCCGCCACGCCCAGGCCGGCCGCCCAGGACAGCAGGGCTAGCATAGGCAGCAGTCGCCCGGGTCTCGCTCCGCCGCCCCCCATTCCGCCCCTGCTCCCGGGAGCCCGAGGCCTGCCGCGGAGACTTCTCGCGAGATGCGGAGACCCCGAGGAGCAGCCCGGCCAGGCGTGGGCCCCGGGCGGCGGCGGCTAGCGGACTGCGTGGATGGAGAAGCGGGCGGAGGGGACGGAGCGGACGAGCGCGGAGCCCGAGCGCGTGGAGCGGACGACGGAACCGGCGGCTCGGGCGGCGCGGGCTTAAGAGCCGCCAAGGAGGGCGGGGCCGGGGGCGGGGCGCTGCTCCTGGAACCCCGGGTCCCGAGCCGTCGGGGCTGCGCCCCCACCCTCGGAGTCGCCGACGCCTACGTGCACCGCCCCACGCCCCGGCCCCGAGCGTTCTTGTGGGACGTGCGCTCCTCTGCCTCTCCCCGTGTTCCAGAAGCTTCCACTCCTGCGGGCCCTGCCTAGATCTCCTTGATCTCCTTCTCTGCTGAACCGGAGGTGAGTGGTGACTGCGGGGGGTCTTCAGCCTGCTTTGCTGAGTAGGCTCCTGTCACACTCCCAGCCAGCAGGGCTGGGGATCCATTCCCGGGGCACCGCTGCTTCTGAGCTTAAGCATTACCGTGTCAGAGAAGGCCTTGCTTCGATTGTACTCGGTGAACAGAAACTTTTCACTGTCCGGTGAACAACTCTCCCGCCGCTGCTGCCAGGAGAGCCTTAGCCTCTTTCCAGTAATGAAGCCTGTAAATCCAGTGGAGTCCAAGCCCAGCTTGTGCGACCTGGGGCTGCGCTTTACAAGGTCTTCCTGCCGGGCACATGGAAAATTACTTCCGAAGATGTAAGGGGAGCCAGTCAAGGGCTCCTGGGAGCCGCCTCCACTACTTTGGGTTTTGGTTAGTATGTCTATACAAAGTCGTTTTTTTCCTTTGTTCTCACACTTTAGCCGAAGATTTACGCCGAATGGTGCAAGGGCAAAAGTTTCGACAGCTTCATCCCACACACTCTCTGGTATGCTTACTTTAAGAAAGAACAAAGGATCAGATTCTAGATGTGCTGCTTAAATCTTCCTGAAATAAGAGGAGGCGGGAAATACACGTTCTAACTCGGAATTCCTTTTTTTTTTTTTTTAATTAAAATTACCTAAATTCATGATCACAGTTTTTGTACAATTAGCGTAAAGTCAAGAGGAATCCTGGTTAACAAATTGAAAACAGGTGGGAAATTCTGTACATATTTGGAGTGTGACTAGAACTAAGCCAGTTATTACTGTGTTTTGAAGCTTTTGGTGTGTCTCTCTCCCTCCCTACTCCCTCTCTTTTTAATAAAGGAAAATTGGGGGAAGGTCTGAGACAAGTAGACGTAATCAAGGAAATGGAAACTGTGAGACTGGAGAAGAATGGGAAAAAGGAAGAATGAAGTGGGAGTTACTTCCTCTGACGAAGGAACAGCTAGGGGATGCATTCCTTTACAGTGTGAGTGGCAGGTGCAGACTCACGAATCCAGGCAGGGGCAAATAGAACCAGCCCTCAACAGAACGGCTGGTCGTTTGGATAAATATGTTTCCAGAATTCCAGACTGAACTCTGCCAGGTTTCTTGAACTTTACTCCTCCCCCCCCCCCCCCCCCGAACCTCTGGATTCCTCAACTTGCCTGGCTAGAACTGGAAACTCCATGTATGCCTAACTGTGGAGTCCACCAGTAATTATGGGTTGCTATGACATTCTCCTCATCTGTTGAGTCTCAGAGTCAGAACTTAAAAGCTTCTATAAAGGAAGTGTCTCTGAGATTTTCAAAATAGCCAGACACTTCCATCACAGTCCAAAAGTGCCCCATTATGAAACCAAATTACTTCCTGCCCTCTCAGTTTTCCAACCCTGCTGTCTGCTGGAGATATCTATTTGTATGTTCCCATGGAAAGCACTCAGCATCTTTAGCTTATCAAATCCACATCTCACACCCAGTTCCTAGCTCTTCATCTCTGTTAATGATGCTCTCACATGGCTTCAGATTTGTTTCTAATCTCTGCTGTCAATATCACCAACCCAGAGAATGGTTACATTTTCCCTTCATAGTTTCTCTGTCTCCTTCCCCTTTTTCTTTCCTGCTTAATAACACATCTTTTAATATCACAGCTTAAGCGTTTTCTCACTGACCAACTTTCCTATGGCTGCTTTCTGTCCTCAAACTGTGGCACTCAATATTATGGTTGATCTATCATTTGCTGTGATTTTTTTTTCACCTGTAAACAAAGATCTCACAGAAGATATGGAAGCCATCCTAACCCACTCACCTACAATTCAAATTATTCCACTAAAATATAAGCCAACTAATTTTATACCTTATGCTTGATTGATTTGTCTTACTTTGTCTCCCAGCCCAAGATAAAGATTTTAATTTTTTTCCTCCAAAGGATAAAAATTGGATAGCAATCATTGTCATCATTTGGGTTCCAACATAGGCCAACCTTGGCCCAAGATTATAGGAAGAATGTATTCAGGAGAAACTTGAGTAGATAAGGTTGAAGAAATTTCAGAAAAGACAACCGGGAGTGGATTTTAGCAATCTAACCCAGTAGGTATGGTCTTTAGTCCACAGACCTGATGTATAACTTCATAGATAACCTAGCCCAGGTTCAAGAAGATATCTGCGGTATCTTTATTCTCAACTCCAACATTCATTGACCGAAGGGCCATGAAATGCTTCTTACTTTCCACACTTTGCCAGCCTGCTATGCTCAGAGATAAAGCAACCCATCACTGATTGTATATCCCTGGACTACAAGAAGACAGGTTGGTGTGTTCAGAAATGACAGGATCAAGGGCGAAAGCAGGGTATAAGCCTATATTCCTTTGTTCCTGGTATCTTTCTGTTCATTTTATCTTTCTGTTCATGTTTTCTTTCTAACAAACAACCCACTGCTCCTTCATTGAACTAACCAACTCAAGTTCCACTATAAAGACTCTATATGTCTTGTCCTATTACAACTTAGATGGGGCAGAATATTCAGTTTGTATTCATGTTACATCCTGTCCAAGTCTATTTCTTTTATAGCTTTTTATTAGACATTTTTTAATATCAATAAAACCATTATGAAGTGAAGAAGAGATATTAAATGTGTGAATGAGTGATACAGAGGAAAAATCAAGAAAAGTAAAACCACAAAACGCTGTAATAAATTAAAAATTGGTGGTGGGCTTTATAATGTTTACTATTAGCCCTAAGATTATCATGATGGTATTATTTAACCTACTAGCACAAATAATAAGACACAGACATGTGTTAGATTAATAATTGCTTTATTTACCTTGGGCCAGGCAGACACTTAAACTGTCTCAATATCCTCACCATCCATCCCTGAGACCCCATCCAATGTGATCCACCTTGGTTGTCCTCAGTTGGACTACCTTTCGCCCATAATCTCATGGTACTTGGCTTTTATTCTTTATCTGGGCTTTTCCACGCCATCATTGGAGTCCTTTCTCCAGTCACACATAGTTTCTTCTCTAAGTTAACCCATCAAGCCATCCTCCTTCTTCCCCTCCACCCATCTGTCTGTTTCCTGTGATTCTCCTCAAAAGCCCAGGAACCCTAGTCACACCTATCCCATACTTCCCTACCCAGGTATAGGCTGTTTAATCAATTGGTCAGCTATGTCTTAGGCAGGTTTACACAAACAAGGATGCGTGTATCCGGTAGGCAGGAACCAAATAGATCTTCAGGACCAGTAATTAGCATTAGACCAACCTCCAACAACAAAAGAAGAAATTTGCTGTAAATTTAAGTGAAGGGTTCTGGTACAGCATTACTAAAAACATACTTGGGTTGTATGGGGTATGGAGGAAAAGTGATCCTGACACAATTAACACGTGTGCAAAGTCCCTGAAGTTAGGGGGAAAAGAGAGGCCAAACTGGGTTCTATACTGTGTAAGAATAGTAAAATAATGCCTAAGAACTGATAAAGAGGGAACAGGCAAACACCTGAGCCTTCCTCCTTTGATCTAGGTGAAAAGTCCTGTGAATGTCTGAGACAGAGCAAGTGTGCTTTGAGGTGGGTTTTAAAAAGGATGAGATTCCAGATGTTAGATGAAGAACCAAGGGGCAGGTGGTGGTGAAAAGCAACGCTAGAGACCCATTTAGAGACTGGTGCCCAGCAAAGAAGCCACGGTGGCACTAAACACATTGGTACTAGTAAATCAAAGTCAGTTTCTCAACAAGCTTTACTGTAAAGACAGGAAAATTTGATGGTCTGTATGTGGGTGTAAGAGAAAAAATGTGAAGGAGTATTCAGTGAATATTTGTTGAGTGACTGAGAAGCAATGCTCTGAGAACATCCTTCATAACAGGGGTGGACAGAGAGAGGAGCTTTATAGGAAACAAACCAGAAGGAAAATAACCAGACAGCCAAGAAATAAAATGAAAGAAAGCAGGCCTTTCTGGAGAGGGAGGAGCAGTAGTCAGTAAAGGAAACCAATAAAGTCAGATAAACAAGACTGATCTGCAAAAAAAGAAGTTTAGGAAAAGGAGATTGGTTTGAGGGGTAAGGTATACAAGCTTAAGATTGAAACCTCAGAAGGCAGTAGAAACCACATGGTGGAGAAGCAAGCAGGAGAAAACAGCAGACCCTTCCTTTGTGACTACATCTAAACCAGGCCTTTTCTGCGCATCCCACTTGGGGATGCTTGAGTTACCACAAAGCTGACCCCACCCTTCAAGTATGAGAGCTTTGTAACATGCTCCAGGGGCCCCAGCACTTTTCCAAGCTGTAGCATGAGGAAAGACAGTTTCCCAGGTGGTACATATATTTTAGCGTTGAATCTCTTTTCAGCCAGTGACAGAAAATTAAGTGAGCTGCTTAGCATATCAAATAATAAGCAAACAAAGCTACTTACTTATAAAAGGAAACTTTGATTCATTTGTATTATGATTTTTTAAAACTTACTCTTCTTTTTTATATGTCATTAGAGATCAATAAGTATACAGTTTTCTGTAAGAAATCTTGGTTGTCATCCAGCACTTTCAGATTAAAGATCATTTTTTTCAAACCTTGATTACATGCTTTTGTCATCTTATATAGACTCTTCCCTACTTAGATATGAGTCATGAAGTCCATGTACATTGGAAAATGATGTCATACATGAAACTAAATCAGCCAAGTGAAAAGAAAAAAAGCAGGCCAGAACCACAAAGAGAGCCAAATCGTGCCTGGTATTCTGAGAAGATGATTCTAGCAGATGTTTTCTGACGAGTCAGAATGATGGAGACAGAGCCGTCTGCGCTGTGAGTCACCCCACGAGCCCGGGGGCCGACGTTTGTGGTGTCTGCATTTACTGCTTCACTGAAGTCCAGTGCTGCAGCATGTCCCCTGACAGAGATAACACTAAAATTCCAATAATTACGACAAGCCCTGTGGTAGTGTCACATTTTCTTGTTCAACAGTAGTTTCTAACGATTTCCTTCTGGTTCTCTTGTTTTTTTTTTTTTTTTTTTTTTTTCCTTACTTAAGTACTACCCCAAAGCCCCATTGCCCTGAAGCTAAGAAAGCTCAAGAGGAATATTCTGCAAATATAAGGAGTGACTTGGAGTTGCCGCTTAGTCTTGGTTGGGAAGAAAGCCAGGACATAATCAGAAAGAAAAACTAAGAAAGGGCCTCTTAGATGCCGCTATGAAGATCTTAGAGAGAGGGGCGTGAGGTTTAATTTACATTTTATTTTTAGCCCGGGGGTTCATGTGTGCTATAGCAGCTGTGTGGGGGTCAAAGAACACCCTTGTAGAACTGAGTTATTACTTTATGAATTTCAGGGATGGCACTCAGCTCACAGACCTTTAACTCACTGAGCGGTTCCATGACCCAGGGCCTGAGTTTGATTTATCCAAGAAAATATTGGGATTTTTTTTTTCATTATACTAACTAAGTACTCATGTCTGTGAAAGGAAGGCCACGAATACAAGACAACTTCATGAAGAAACTTATGTTAGAAGCATAGTCAAACATGTTTGTGTCCTTCAACAGTGCCAGGATTTATTGAAAAAAAAAAAATCAGTTCAGAAGGATTGCCAAGTAAACCCACATCCCTGACAGCCTAGTTTTACGTCAACTTGACACAGCTGTAGCCATGTGTGAAGAAAGGCTCTCTCAACTGAGGAAAATGACTCTGTAATATTGGCATGTAAACAAGTCTGTACTGATTTTCTTAATTAGTGAATGTCGTGGAAGAGCAAAGCCCATTGCAAGTGGTGTCATCCTTGGACTAGTGGCCCTGGATGCTAGAAGAAAGGCTGAGCAAGCCGGAAGGAGCAAGCCAGTAAGGAGCACTACTGCATGATTAGATCCTGCCTCCAGTTCCTGTCATGACTTCTTTTGGTAATGTGCTTGCCTGTTCGATGGAATAAACCCTTTCATCCATTAGTTGTGTTTTTAGCACAACAGTAGAAACTCTTAAGACAGCAGCCAAAGTGAATACGTGTTTTTTCTTTTCAATCTTCATCATTAATATCACTCTCAGACCACACTTTACATATCACACAATAAACATAATATCTCTTTGTTGGTACAGAATGGTTGTAAGGGTTAAAGAGGTTGAAGCAGAGTTCAAGAAATTTCAAAGATGCTTGGGGGTAAGAAGTGGGGGAACCCACGGGGGTGTAAGAAAGTGTCTGCAGAAGACAGGGAGCCTAGCTGGGGAATCTGCTGGAGGTACTCCCGATCTTACTGTTGCTGCCATTGAGACAGTCTGTAAGGTCAGAGTTGAGCTGCAGGAGTGAGGTGTGAGACTCTGGTAGCTATAGAAGGTGAAGGGCAGGACCAGATCCAGATGAAAGAATAGGTGCACAGTTGGATGACAAGTTCAAATAGACAAGACAAGGGGTGATGAATGGATGGCATTTTAAGAGGCTATATCCACAAAGCTCAGTTGAAATCTCAGGGACAGTTAGGAACTCTCTGCCTACCTACCCTTTGATGAACACACTCGGTGATCAGATGACAGGACTGTGGGCGGTGTGAGGTCTCCTCCACTTGTGCTCCTGTTAGGGGATAGTTTTGTGCAGTGTGTATTCAAATGCTGATTTCTGTACCCAGAGATCGGAGGGCAGTCCACACAGTGTCATTGTCATTTCTGTGAAGCATCCCCAGTCTCAATGTTGTGTAACAGTTGTTATCTAGCACCCTCTGATTGGTTAATAAAGACCTGCACAGCCAGTAGCAAGGCTACTGTAGCAAGGAGGGTCTTCCGATCCCAGAGTAGGAGTCCCAGGTGTAGAGCAAAGAGGAGAAGCCATGAGAAGAAGATCATCACAATGAGGGAGTCACCATGATGAAATGGATCAAGCAGGAGCAGCCAAGGCGAGATTAAGATGGCAGGTAACGGGACACTTGACTGGGAAATAGATCAGGCCAGCACAGTCTTGTTAAAATAGATGAGTGTCTGCCCAGCTGTAGTGCTTGAAGCCTACTAATAGATGTAATAGGTCATTGTGTCATTAGTTGTGAGCTAGAGTGGGCATAGAAAAGCCCTAATTTAACAGGATTCAAGTGAGGAGTTTCACCTTTTCTCCAGCCTAATGTCCAGTAAGTTCTTAGGTGCAGTTTTCTTAATAACGATTTTTATATTTTCCTGTGCTCTTATTAGAGTCCCACGTTTCTTTGATAAAATTCTCAGATAGCTTTTTACTTTTTTGCATAAGTTAAGTATCAGTCTGTGCTTGTTGGATACTGCCAGATAGATGGGAGGGCTTATATGTCCACTAACTACACTGTTATCCTCCCTCATCAAAATGGAATCAAAAGCTGACTGTAAATGGAGTCTGTCAGGGAAAGACAGTCTGAAGAGCCACGGTTTAGAGAGGCTTATAAAAGAGTACAGCCTAGTCTCAATGAGAAAAAATGGGAACAGTCTGTGTTATATCACAAACTATTAGACTCTCTGCTCTTCTCTCTTTCCCTGTCTTCTCTCCTCCTCTTCCCTCCTCTCCTTTTCTCACCTTTTCTCTCAGCAATCAAGCTGTGGCTACAGAATAGGGACTGGAATTAAACACCAAGGTTAACATGGAAAAGAAAAAACTCACTTTGGTGAAGAGTAGGATGCTTTTAAAAGCTCATGCTGTCATGAGGCAGGTAATATCCTGTGAACATCCTTTGAAGGGTCAGGGGATTTGGTTCACCATTTTGAGGGTTCCTCAGCCTGTAAGAAATGATTCATTAGCATCCATTGTCAGTGTTAGGTCTATTAGAGCTTATAAGAGAATCACAGAGACACTAGACCCCTGTCTTCCCTAGATGAACCTGTATGTCTAGTCTAGAGACTTTCATTTCATCCTAAGGTTGAAAAGTTGTAGACAGCTGTGTGATTGAGCACCCGTCTATCAGGAAAGCAAGGAATATCAAGCCCAGGAAAGTCTCAACAATAGGTTGAAACAAATTTAAGCAATAATACGAAATCTTGAAGACAAGGTAGAGGAAATAAATAAAAAAAAAAAAAGGTTAAATGCCTAAAAAAAAAAAAAGCATGAAGAACATGAAGAAAATCTGTGACACTATAGAAAGAGCAAATTTATGAATAGTATGTGTATAGGAAGGAGAAGAAACTGGACAAAGGATCAGAGAATATTTTCAGCAATGTCGTAGAAGAAAATTACCAAAATCTAAAGGAGATGCCTGTTGAGGTACAAGAGGCATATAGACCACCAGATATACAAAACCAGAAAAAAAATTACAGAATCAAAACACTAAATGTAAATGTACAAAGAAGGTTATTGAAAATGTCAAGAGAGAAAAACCAAATTACATGACAGCAGGACCATCATAATAACATCTGCCTTTTCAGTAGAAATCTTGAAAGCCAGGGAGCCTGATGTGCTGCAAGTTCTAAATGACCAACCCAAACTACTATACCAAAATACACACACACACGTATCTATATATGTGTGTGTGTGTATATATATTCATATATATGTATATATGTGAGTGTGTGTGTGTATATATATATATATATATATATACACACACTCATAAAACCAGCTCTGCAGAGTATACTCTAAGGAGCACATCATGCTGAAGAGAACATCTGACATTCCCAAGAAGGCAAAAGGATATATAATCTCAGAGCATTAACCACAAGAGATCTAGGAACAAAACTCCACAAGAAAACAACAGGAAAATAAGTACCATTTAATAATGATTTCAGTATTAACATGCTCGTTCAGTTTCCCAACAAAAAGGTGCAGATTAACAAACTGGATTAGAAAACAGAATCTATCTTTTTGCTGCATCCAAGAAATATGCCTTACCACGTGGGGTAGACACACCTTAGGGTAAAAGGATTGAAAAAGTTTTCAAGCAAATATGACAAAGAAGCAGGAGAGTAGCTATTCTAATATCTGACAAAATAACTATTCAGAAGAGATAAGGAAGGACATTTCATAGTCATTAAAGAAAAATCCAGAGAGGATATTACAGTTCTTAACACAGGTATACCAGGATCATAAACAATGTCATATTTAAAACTCTAAATTGACCACAACACAGTGACAGTGTGTGACTTCAATACTCCTATTAATATATCATCAAGACAAAAACTAAATAGGAAAACATAGGAGCAAAATTATAATATAAATTAAATGGCGCTCACAGACGCCTACTTAACAGTCCACACAGGCACTGAAGAATACATCTTCTGCTCAATAGCCCATGGAAAGTTTTCTAAAATCAGCCACATACAAAGCGAGAATCAACACATTTAGGAATATTGAAGTACTCTGTGTATTATGTGACCACAAAGGGATTAAACCAGATACTAGCAACAACAGAAAGTACACAAAGTCATGGACGGTAAAGAACACCCTACTGACTCAAAACTGGGTGAAGGAAGAAATCAAGAAGAAAAAATAAAAGGTCTAGAATTTAATGAAATGAAGATATAACATATTAAAATATCATGAGACAGAATAAAAGTCCTAACAGTGAAGTTTAAAGCATGAAGCGCCTACATAAAAAAAAAAAAAAAAAAAAAAAAAAAAAACCTGGAGAAATCCCACATTAATAACTTAACACTGCACCAAAAGGCACTGGAAAAACAAGGACATACAATACCCAGAAAGATTAGATAGAAAGAAATAATAAAATCAGGGTTGGATTTAGGAAATTCAAACAACAAAAGGGTAAAGAATCTATGAAACCAAGAGTTGGTTCTTTTCAAAGACTAACAAGATTGATAAATAGCCAAATTAAAAGAAAAAGTAAAGACACAAATTAATAAAATTATAGATTAAAAGGGAAACATTTACAAAGATACTGAAAAAATTAAGTGACTTATACAGAGCAACCTTAAAAAAATGTAAAATACACTAAACTGGAAAGCATAAAATAAATGAATAAATTTTTCAATATGCATGACCTACTAATACTACATTAAGATGAAGTAAATAATTTAAATGAGCCTATAGCAACCAATAATGGGCAGTAGGTCCATAGGAACAAAGAGGATATCTCCCAACTAAAAAAAAAAAAAAAAGTCCATAGCCAGATTGGTTTAGCATAGAATTCAAATAAGAACTAACACCAGTATTCTGCAAATTATGCCACAAATTAGAAAAGAATAAAACACTTCCAAACTCTTTTTATGATTCCTAGATTACCTGATACCAAAGTAAAAAATAAATAGAAAAGAAAGAAAAATTATGTCCCAATACCTTTAAGAACATAGATTCAAAAATTCTCAATAAAATACTTGAAAATGAAATTCAAAAGCACATCAAAAAGATTGTCCACTATAAACAAGCTGAATTCATCCCAAAAGTGTAGGAATGGTTCAATATACATAAATCAGTTAATGTAATCAACAACATTAACACACTCAAAGGCAGAAATCACAGGGTCACTTCATTAGCTATAGAAAAGGCTTTTGAAAAAAAGCTAGGATAAAAGCTTTATGCTAAAAGTAGTGGAGACTGTAAGAATATAAGTGACAAATCTCCTAAGAATAAAGGAAGTGTGCAGCAAACTCACAACCAACGTCGTGTTAAATGAATTTTTAAAAACTTCAAGGCAATTCCATCAAAGAAGGATACCTGCCGTCCCCATTTTTTTTTGTTTGTTTGTTTGTTTGTTTCAAAATAGTGTCTGAAGCCTTAGCTGACTCGGGGATGGTTTTCTGTGTATTCAGATGCTGATTTCTATACTTAGAGAGCTAGTTGGAGCCCAGACATGGACATTGCCACTTCTACTGAAGCATCTCCTGTCTCAATGTTGAGTAAAATAATGTTCTCCATCACCTCTGATTGGTTAATAAGGAGCTGAACAGCCACTAGCTCAGCAGGAAAGTTGAGGTGGGACTTGCAATCCCAGGAGGAAGGGTCCCAGGTGAAGGAGAGAGAGAAGAAGTCATCACAAGAAGGTCACATGAGAGAATCGCCATGAGGGCATGATGGAGCAGGAGCAGCTAGGGTAAAAC